CAAAAAAATTATCTAAATTTACATTTCAGAATGAACACCCTCAGGACCATGGGTCTGCACTTCAGCATTTTCAAAAGCAACGAGGATTTCTGAGCTCTCCTAAAGGCTTTCACAAGCTGCTGCCTGGCCCCACTCTGAAGTTAAAGTTGGATTGAAAGGGTTCCTCTTGAACACCAATGACCGGCCTAAACGATCATTAATTTTCTCAGCCTTCTCTGAAGGTTTTGTCAATCTTTGGGTCAGCTATCCTGACCCAAAATGTGCGCTGGCAGCCACAGAGCCAACCTCATCCTGGGGTGCAACAAAAGCAGTGGTGGCCAGCAGGGTGAGGGAGGTGGTTCTGCCCCTCTGCTCCGCTCTGGTGAGACCCCACCTGGAGTACTGCCTCCAGCTCTGGGCCCTTCAGACCAGGAAGGACATAGACCTGTTGGAAGGAGACCAGAGGAGGCCACGAAGATGATCCAAGGGAACTTTCCATGTTCCAGCTTGTGCCCGTTGCCCCTCATCCTGTCACTGGAAACCAAGGAAAAGAGTCCAGCTCCATCATCCTTCCACCCATCCTTTAGATACTTGTAAACATAGATAAGGTCTCCCCTCAGACTTCTCTTCTCCAGGCTAAAGAGCCTGAGCTCTTTGAGCCTTTCCTCATAAGGGAGGTGCTCCAGTCCCTCAATCATCTTTGTTGCCCTACGTTGGACTCTCTTCAGGAGTTCCCTGTCTCTCTTGAACTGGGGAGCCCAGAACTGGACGCAGGATTCCAGTTGTGGCCTCCCCAGTGCAGAGCAGAGGGGGAGAATGACCTCCCTTGACCTGCTGGCCACACTCTTCCCTACACAGCCCAGAATCCCATTGGCCCTCTTGGCAACAAGGCCACATCGCTGGCTCATGGAGAGTTTGTTATCCACCAGGACTCTCAGATCCTTCTCCTCAGAACTGCTTCCCAGCAGGTCCACCCCTAACCTCTACTGGTGCCTGGGGCTCTTCCTCCCCAGGTGCAGGACCCTACATTTGACTGCAAAGCTGGTTAGTCTGAGATTAAAACAAAACTGCACTGCTCTTGGACATCTCACATTGAGGAAGCAGCTGTTCTCCATGCTGGATGTGTTAGCGGGGACAAACCAGGCAGGACAAAACAGTGCTGAAGAAAGAATCACTGAGTAAATAACATTAAACCAATTCAGAGATTCACTCCCAGCCCAGAATAAATCCCAGTAAAGATAAAGTGACATTTCAGCCCCCATCAGTGTTGATTTAAGGGTGAACAACTTGCACAACGAAACAAAACTTCCCAAGTTACCCCATACCAGAGAAGCCCAGGAATTTGCACGCTTTACCTTCACGACTGCCTTCTTCTTGTGGTATTTCTCTCCCAGCTTTTTTGTTACAATTTTTACAACAATTTCCTGGAAGATATGAAAGGAGAAAAGAAAAAAATGAAATGTCGAAATATACAACCAACCACACAATCTAAACTAATTGGGCATTCAGGTCACTCAGGCTGACTCCAACCACAGGCTCAGGAAGCAACAATAGGAAAGACTCAGCATTCAAGAACTTGACTTTTTCCTGAAAGGAGAAAAGAAAAAAATGAAATGTCGAAATATACAACCAACCACACAATCTAAACTAATTGGGCATTCAGGTCACTCAGGCTGACTCCAACCACAGGCTGTAGAGCACAAGACTCAGCATCCAAGAACTTGACTTTTTCCTGAGTTATTGACTCAAAATAGTATCTCTCAAGACCTTTTTTTTTTAAAAAAAAAAACAAATACACTTGAATTCAGGATACGATGTGACAGTGCACAAAGGGTCAAGGGCAGGACTTCTTGATCTAGAAGTCCAGGCAATAAGTAGATGCTGAGATGAGGTCCCTCAGCTCAAAGGCTGATGTTGACTTTACACCTTTGTGCAAATCGACAACTGCGTAGAAAAAAGGGGGCTGTGAGTAATATCATGAGTTAAACACAATCATGTAGGGACTGGCAGTACCAACTCTTTAATTAGAGAATTCTACCCCATCTGAGATGAGGCACACGATGGGTCAGACTGCAGATGGTGCTCAACCAGAAGAATAATTCCTCCCAGATACTGTAATATTTCCCAGTTGGCAGCTTGGAAAATCAAGGGTGAATTTAGATGGGAATCTAGTTTTGGATCAACAGCAGTTTTAGAGATGTAGAATTGGCTGTATTTGGTATAATAATAATTTTTAAGACACTTACAGGCTGCAACCAGTAGTCTCTTCGAGATGTTCTTTTCTTCTCCTCTTCGAGCTACAGAACAACAACAAACAATCACCATTTACTTCCTCCTCTTACTGCAGCTTTCCCACGCCTCTGAAAAGCTGAACCAATTCTCCAGGCCCACATCAAGTGAAAAATTAAAAAAAAAAACCCAAACCCTAAATAAGGGTAAGTCAGCGTGTGCTCGGTGCATAAAAATCAAACTGATGAGATCCAGGAATCCATGATAAAATGATGGAGATTTATATTTGGTATTGTCAAGTGTTTCTAAATATTTTCTTCTCTTCCAAAATCTGTATTCTTTTAGTTCCAACATCTCAGTCGTCTGAGGAATAGGCACAGATGAGCAGCAGAAACCAGTTTTAATGGGGAAGTGGAATCATTTTGCCTGATAAGATACCAGAAGTCTGAATTCCACATGAACTGAAGGTCTGACGTCACTTCAAAGGGATGCCCTGGTAAAGTGGACATGGCCATAGGCATTGGGGTTAGAAAGACACAGATCCTGCATGATCATTACCTCCATGATCTCATCCAGTGCAGATTTCTTCTTTTTCTCTTTGGACTGACCAGAGCTATGAGCTGGTTCTTTTCTTTTAACTGCCCCTTCCACCATCTTCAGTGCACTCGGTCCAAGGACACTGCTGGAAGAGTAAGATGGTGTTTTCACAGCAGACCTTAAATTGTCTCCTCTACCAAGACGCATTTGAGGAGCTGGTTGTGCAAAAAAAGGACTATTTAATTTCAGTTGTGCAAATCACCTTCCAGACCCTGCATAACCTCCTCCTCTAGGATTGCATTTGGCAGCTAGAACTCATCTCCTCGAGGTGTAAACTCCAAGTCCACTGATGTTGGCTGCCAGAAGTCCAGCAGAAGGAGAACAACCTAACGATGGGTTCAGCAGTGCAAAAGCAAAAAGTTCATCACGGAGGCCAGTGGAGAAGACAAAAGCAGGTCTGCAAATGAGGTTTTCAAATTTGAGAGGACAAACTTACGGCTTTAGAGAAGCCACCTGGACAGAGCAACCCTCAAACATGGTAGACAACTAGAACTCCTTCCAGAGATACTTAACCTACCCGTCAGAGGGAGAAAATACATGGGAATCTGCAGGAAAGGGCTCCACAGCCAGCAAATGTATACCATCTTCATAATCATATGCAAAATAGGCCAAGAGCCGATGAGTTATGAAAGAGCAGAGCAATCAGCACAAAAAGCTATGTCTCTGGGATCAGGGAACACCTAGGTAAAGTAAGAACTACCTAAAGGTAGCTTGAGTTAAGTCATTTTTTCATAATCATATGCAAAATAGGCCAAGAGCCTATGAGTTATGAAAGAAAAGAGCAATCAGCACAAAAAGCTACGTCTCAGGGATCAGGGAACACCTAGGTAAAGTGAGAACTACCTAAAGGCAGCCTGAGTTAAGTAATTTTTATATTTTTATAAAGGACATTTGAATGCAGTAAAAAACATTTAGGTGTTCTCTCATTCAGGCAGATGAAGGCTGCTGCGAGGTGGGACACTGAGGTGACATTAGTGTGGCCTTACAACAAATCACATGTTCTGCCTGTGGTGAGGACGTTCGAAACACCAGCAAAGGGAAGATACATAATGAGGATGAAGACACAGAAATGGCAGCAGTAATAAAATCGAGAGAAAAATAATTGTATAATAATAATAATAATAAAATAATTGTATAATCTCTGTAGCAGAGTTCTAGAAGAAAAAGCACATTAAATCACAAATCCAAAAGCAAGTACTTGAAGGTACAATCTCACACAATTAAAACACAACTGCAGGGCTTGCACTGAAGAAGGGAAACACGTCCACCTGCGAGGTTACTAAGGGATTCCTGGGTGTCAATACTAAACCAAATCTCATTTAACATATTCATTAAGGGCCCTGGGACAAAGAGAGAGGCCACCAATGCTGGTCAGGTGGGCCATTCAATGTGGAGGACACAAGAAAGAACTGGGTGCCAGAAGGGACTGGTTTAGCTTGAAAAACGTGTTTTAAAAAAGACAAAATTCAACAGCGCTTTATGGAACTGGTATAAACTGGCCATGACAACACTTATCCAGGAAATTCCAGACAAAGTCCTAACCATCAGAGCAAACAGGGTTTGAAGGAACCTCCCTTGGGATTACAGGGCTGGGGAGACCTTGCCTGTGCACAGTGAGGGCTGACCAGTGCATGGACAGGACTGTGTACTGGTACACTTGCAACACTGCAGGCAGGAGTCAAGTGACCTTGGTAAGAGCTTCTGCTCATTACTTAATTAGAAGTAATTCTAATCTTACTTGTCCACTGAGTGAGTTAAGCAGGGATTTGAGGATGTAAATTCTTGAGGGGGGGGGGGGAAGTAAGCCCTGGGCTCCCAGTTTGCTCAAGGGCAGTTCCTCCTGTCCTGAGCATTTTCACTGAATTTTCACTGAATTTTTAGAGTTGGAAGGGACCATAGAGATCATCTGGTCCAACTCCCCTGCTAAAGCAGGATTGCCTAGAGCTAGAGCATGTTACTCAGGAGCATCCAGGCGGGTCTTGAAAATCTCCAGAGAAGGGGACTCCACACCCTCCCTGGGCAGCCTGTTCCAGGGCTCTGTCCTCCTCACAAGAAATTTTTTCTCATATTTGAGTGGAACCTCTTATGTTCCAACTTGTGCCCGTTGCCCCTCGTCCTCTCACTGGGAACCACTGAAAAGAGTCTGGCTCCCTCCTCCTTCAACCCACCCTTGAGATACTTATAAGCGTTGATAAGCCTTCTCTTCTCCAGGCTAAAGAGTCCCAGCTCTCTCCCCCTTTCTTCATAAAGGAGATGCTCCAATCCTTGAGTCATCTTAGTTGCCCTTCTCTGGACTCTCTCCAGCAGTTCCCTGTCCCTCTTGAACTGGGGAGCCCAGAACTGGACGCAGGATTCCAGTTGTGGCCTCCTCAGTGCAGAGTAGAGGGGGAGAATGACTTCCCTTGACCTGCTGGCCACACTCTTCCCTATGCAGCCCAGGATTCCGTTGGCCCTCCTGGCCACAAGAGCACACTGCTTGCTCATTGTCATTTTGCTGTCCACCAGGACCCCCAGATCTTTCTCTTCGGAACTTGTCTCCAGCAGGTCCACGGCTAACCTGCATTGGTGCCTGACATTCTTCTTCCCCAGGAGCAGGACCCTACACTTTTCCCTGTTGAACTTCATGAGGTTCTTCCTTTGTCTTAGATGAACCCTGAACAGCAGTAGCCATGCCCCGCAGCCGCAGTGGTGACTCCTAGCTTCATGTCAGCCCCACAGACCTTCAAGGGAAGGCACATCTCCCTTCTCATTCCCCTTCTCGACTCCACCTTTGTACCCAACCACCAGTAACCCCAGGCCCTCAAACTCTACCATCCACTACCTCCAATCTCCTGGGCCTATTTCTGCATCCAGCTCAGGAAATGCAAGTGCCAAGTTTCTGTGGCTACAGAAGGTGGGAAGCCAGGAAGTCCTACTGCAGCTGCTGTGCTGGGCTACTGGGCATCAGGTTGAACTCAAGTGGTCCTCAGTAAGAGCCAACAGCTGCAGAACACACCTTTATGCTGACACAGGGCAGTGGTTGCCATATACAACACACCAGTCACACCAGTGACATATAAACCCTCGCCCCATCACTTTACCACGAAATGGGTATCCTAATTTTGCTTCTACGCCACCATTACAAAGTTAACGGACAAGTGTCTCTCATATGCTATGAAAAAATTCGACTACTTGATGTATGATTTCACATTCAGCCAAATTTTAGCCAGGACCTTAAGTATTCCCCACTTGAATTATTCAAGTGGGTGCCTGAATTAAGTTTCAGGCTCCTCTTAAGTACAAATCAATGCTTTGGGATAATTTACAAGTTTTCCTCAAAGCCTGAAATCTGTATCTATTATTGCAAATAACTACATTATTGTCTCATTTTCTGCCTGGCACATCTCCCATCAGGTACCTTATCTAAGAGCTGAGCTTGTGATGAGAGGAAAGCCTTTTGTTTTACCTGCAATATGTTTAATTACAATATTGCCTCCCAGGAAAAGATGTACTGCTCATCAAACGGTTTCACAGACTGCTAGAAGTCAGTATCATTTGCATTATTGATCCCTTTTGTCCTGCCTTGCTCGTGGCTGTATGATGACAATTAAAAGCACCAGCTTCAGAAAGATTTACATCAGAGAGATTCAGCTGCTTAAATGATGATCAGAGGAAGTATTGCCTCCAATTAGACAAGGCAATCAAGGCTTTTAGGAACTAAAATTAACAAGTCACGAGTACCCATTCACAGCAGGCCAAATATTCACTTCAAATATTTTAGGACATCTTTATATATTTAGGACATCTTTAGATACATCTTCCTGCCCACACAAACACCATCACCATTGTCATCGCAACAGTAGGGGTTGCCCTTAAATTCTTGTCTCACCTTGTTTTGGAAGACGCTGCTATTGAAGTACTTGCTCCTTTGTTTAAATTAAATGCAACTAAAAAATAAAAAGACATTACTCTATTTCTATCTTTAAATATAACTGCATCGAAGGATGTTACAATTTTTAAAATCTGTAAATGGAAGTGATCACAAATTTGAACATATTTATTAGTCTATGTTTTGGTTCAGCTTTTAAAATAAATTACTTTAAATAAAATAAATTAAAAAATAAAATAAATAAAATAAATTACATATAATTGATCTCAAAGCACTTTATGAAGCACCGAGGAGTCCTCAGCGCTCATCTTGTTTTAATCACAACATCAGCTTCAGTAGGTTCTAGAAAATTGCATGTATCAAAATCTGATTACCTTTTTCTTCTTCATTTTCTCTGTTCAGTTCAGTATAGACCGGCTGTTCCTGCCAAAAAAAAAACCCCACAAAACACACTTTAAGAGTCGAACAGAAAACTGAGCCAAGATACCATTTTTTGGTGATCATTGATTAGCTCAGTTTTACAGACAGCAAGATTATTACGAGTAACTGTAATATTCAACCTGGCTTGATTTGTAAGAAGATTATAAATTGCAAATGTGATCTCATTACAGCCTCTCATGCAAAATTCTCTAATTAACAACTCTCTACAGAGATGCTGTCTGAACTTGCTTGAGCCCAGCACGAAAGGAAAGTGGCCTTAACTGTAACAGTTTCCTCTTTTTAAGCCAGCCTGATAAGACTGGTTTCGGGACAGACTCATAACTCCAAGAAGGAAATTCTGGAATCTTTCCAAATTTTTAGCACCGAAGGCTCAGGCCATTTAAATGTCGATTAGTTTTAAATTAAGAAAAAGGTAATTGTTTACGACAGCATTTAAATGTACCTATCGATAGCTGGGATCAAATGGGAGGTCCCAGTCCCAGGCAACAACGTGTATGGAAATCATGGAACGATGCCAAATAAACAGATCCCAAATCCCACCCCAGCACTATCAAAATCAAACTTTTTACTACATGGATTTGATTATGTCTCCCCCCTG